AAAAAAAATTTTTTTTTTTTTTTTTTTTCGAAAAATAACTTTTTACCCAAGTTAATAATTATCTTCTTCTTTCTTTCTTTCTTTCTCTCTTTCTCTCTTTTTTTTATTTTTTATTTTTATTTTAAATCCATTATTAAATTAATTCCGGATGACAGAAAAAGTCATGTGATTCATACCGGCCTGGATCTCTCTTTTTTTTTTTTTCACCTGGAGAGCGAGAGAGAGAGAGAGGGAGAAAATGGATAAGGATAAAAAAGGTAAAAAAAATGGCAGGGGGAAGGGTGGGGGAAAATTTTATTTTAAAAATGTTTTAAAGAAAGAGTGAATTTTTTTTTTTTTTTCTCACCCACAATGAGAAAATACTTTTCTTTCGATTTCGTTGGGAATGAATGAAAATTTTTTCTTTTTTTTCCTTGTGTGAAAATTTTTACCAATGACTTTAAATCTTCAAGTTATTTGGATTGATTCCAAAACTCTTTTAATTTCTTTATTTCAAACTTTTTAACCTCCATGTTTTTTAAAGGTGGCAAAAGAAAAAAAAAAATTCATTTTCGAAGAAAATGTGTGTATACTTCTCAGATTTTCTTCACGAAAATTTGGCAATGCTAAGTTTTCACCCCAAAAAGTTCAGATTGTTAAAATTTTGACGTTTAATAATTATTTTTTTTTTTTTAAACGCACATTATAAATTTGTTCACGTCACGAAGTTTTTACATAAAAAAAAAAAAAAAAATAATACCACCCTTAATTATTATAATAATTATTTTTTTAATGAATAAAATTAATTTATTTTTTACCACCTTCATTTAAAATTTTTTTTTTTCTATTTTCAACGTCATATTATTAATAACGTAATTAATAAATTTCTATTATAATTAAATTTTAATATAATTTTCGTCATCGAGTAAACGTTTAAAGTGTTTTATGCACAAACCTTGTTTTCTCATATATATATAAACTATTAGGTTTAATGTTTACTTTAAAAAAAAAGGTTCTCTAAAAATTATTGATTTGTTTACTATTTTATTCCGTGTAAACAAAAACATCGTAATACAGATAACAATAAATAAATTTTTAATGCTAAGATTAACAATAAAAATTTTAATACAAAATTTTTTACTCCATTGTAGCCAAAAAAATAGAAAAAGGCCCAAAAAAAACTTATTTTGGCAATTTTCATTGTGCCAAAGCCAAATTTATTAGTTAAAACAAAAAAAAACACATTCGAATTTCGCAATGCAAAAAAAAAAAATATAAATAATAATAATCGATATATATGTGTATATGATTTTCTAAAACAACGTTTACGAAAAGAATTAAATTTATTTTCCCCTCATAAATTATTAAAAAAAAAAAAAAAACCCAAAACCGAATACATGACGAAAAGTTTTATCAAATTAAATTTATTAAATTCAAAATTCATTTTATTTAAAATTATTAATTAATTTTTAAAGTTTCCTTTTTTAAACAAAACTTGGCATGAAAATTAACAATTGCATCAATTGATTTTAACTTAAAAGTCGAAATAAAATAAAAAATTGTTTTTTTTTTTTTTCGATGCCTGTTTCGAACAAATCAAAATAAATTAAATTTGAGTTAATTTATAAAGTTTCCTTGTTTTTGCTTTTTGTTTTTTTTTTTTTTTGTTTTTCTAAAATATTTTTTACCAGATTCGAAAATTGATACTTATAGTAATAATTTATTGTGACAAATTAAGCCAGATTAAAATCAATAGTTTTAACCAACCAATGGTTATCGATACCAGCCAGTTGGCAATCTATAAGTTCGAAATCAACGCATTTCATTTTACTTTTTTTTTTTTTTTTCAATAGAACCACACACACGCACACACACACACACACACACATTGATCTATTGATACCAATTGACATTTGAAATGAAATTGAATTTTTACGATCGAATAGCATTTGCATGACGCGAGAGTATTCATATTATTCAAGCAAATAATTATTATTTATTTGCTGACATATTACATAATTAATATTGTATTACGTAAAATTCTCAACACGATAAAACATTTAAGCATCAATCATTATTGTCGTTATTTTTACTTAAATTATTTACTATTTACCTTTTCTTTTGAAAATATAGGTTTATGGGTACTTTTACGATTTGTAATTGTTTATGCACAATCAGTACGCTATTGATAACAACTAATTTTTTTTTTTTTTTTTTTTTTTTTAAATTTAATGTTTAATGACGTTCACAAATTATAATTTTCAAAAAAAAAAATCTTTGGGTAAATTAAACTGAAAAAGAAAATATAATAGTTCCCGGAAAAATTTAATTATAAATAATAAATAAGAGCCTTTGGGGTTTCTTTTTTCTTTTTTTTTTTTTTTTTTTTTTTTTGAAAATTACATTATTCCCCTTTAAGAAAATTTTCATTATTTTTTTAAAATATTAAATGCATGCCCACATAAATTTATGAAATTCATTAATGATAAATTAATCCCCGATTAAAAAAAATCTTGTAATTCTTTAATAAATTTCTAAAAAATATTAATAATAATAATACCCACCCTCGATAAGTATTTAATTTTAATGTAATTTTCAGTTTATATTTGAATTGATGAAATTGATTTAAATGAGATTACAAAAATTAATTTTTTTTTTTTTTTTTTTTTTTTTTTTTGATGAAAATAATAAATATAATAAATAATGGGAATTTAACGAAATTTTAAAGAAAAAAATAATACAAGATTTTTCATTGAATTTAAATAAAAAAGAATGTTCGTTATTTTAAACTTCGTTAATGAATAACTGCAATGTAACAAAATAAATAATATACTAATTAATAAAATGTAATAATATTAATTAATAAATTATTTCCAAGAGCTTTATATAATTTTTTAAGTAATATCATTTAAAAAAATGATTTCAAAAAACAGAATTTTACACATGTGATAGTTAGAGTCACAGTCCCTAATTATCAGATTAGAAACAAAAATAATAATAATAATAAGAATATGCAGTTAAAAAAAAAAAAGCAAAAAATTAATTACAATTTTTTCAATTAAAAAAAAATAAAAAAAATGTCTCTCTGCCATGCCATCAATTTTTCTTTTTTTTACGCGAAACCATAACACGTATAGTAAGCACGACAAGAAAGAAAAACCAATTCGGATATTATAAAACTTTAAAAAATAAAAATAAATAAATGTTCCTCCAGTTTGCAGCTGCAAAACTTTCTCATCATAATTTTCTCTACTAATATAAAAATAAATAAAAAAACTTTGAAAGCAACGTCAAAAAGGGAAGTAAAAAAAAAAAAAAAAAAAAAAAAAAAAAAACGTGACGACTTAGGAAATGATACGTGAATAACAATTCTCAAATAACAACAAAAAAAAAACCAAAACAGTTAAAAACCATTCAGCCCTACTATTCTTATACGCATGCGTAATTTGAGCTTTTTATTATTATTATTATTATTATTATTATTATTATTATTATTATTATTATTATTATTATTATTATTATTGTTTTTATGACTATAATGTATTCCCTGGCAAATTTTTATTTTACTCAAACAACCCAAAATTAATTATTTGAAATTATACTCATTTATTTAATCTGATCCCTCATTTGTTAAAGTCTCAAACTTCATTACATATACACTTGTAAAATTTATTAAATTTAATAATTGACAAAATTTGAAGAAAAAAAGAAAAGAAAAAAGGTAAACCATGTTTTAAGCCATAAAAAAAACCAACAAAACATTACAACTATTGGAGATCTATTACCAAGTTGAAATTGTTTTACATCAATTCATATTTTAATCATTTATTATTTTCATCCTAATGTGATTAGATTAAATAATTTTATAATGCATCATTCGTTTACATTTAGTATTAAGAAAAAATTTTATAGTACCAGAATTTCCGTTAATAAAAATTTTAGTAATAGTAAAAACTACGGTTTAGAAAATTTTTTGAAATTCATTAATCTGAACGACCAAATACAAATTTTTCTTTGATAAAAGAAAATGGATGTTCATATCATGCATAAAATAAATTTAAAAAATTTTTCCAATTAATGGCAATTGCACAGTATTCAATTTTTTTTTTTTAGTAAAAATGTAAGTATATATTCATATTAAAAGAATACCTTAAACAATACCTGTTTTTTTTTTTGCTACATTTATCATTTATAGGACTTTTAATTTCATTTCTGACTCTTAAATTTTTTTAATATGACAACATTTACTTTTTAAATCTTGTTTGCATTTTTTTTTCTTAATCTTTCCAGAAATTAGTAAAATATGAATTAAAATTTAATTTTAAAAATAAAAAGATTACATTTTCAAAGTGACAAATGAATTTAATAAAAATGCTAGTTAGAAAATAATTGTCAATACTGTATTGTTATTGGCATTGAAAAGTAATATAATCATTCAGATCAATGTTCAAATTTTATGATTATAAAAATTTCCTATTCAATTACAATTTTTTTAAAAATAGAAATTATCATTCGCTTTTTTTTGAATAAAAAAAAAAAAAAAAAAAATTTCATAAAAAACATGCTATGAATAAATCCAAATATTTTTATTTTAGTTGTAAAACAATAGACAATTGATAATAAACTTGTATAAGATAACAATAATGCAAAATAAATTCAGAATTGTAAAAAAAAATTTAAACAATAATTCGCAGACTGGTTTTTTTTTGTCGAAATATTTAAATGTTGGCCTTTGCATAATAATTTAATAACACTAATCGAATATAATTTATTCATAATAATAATTTAATATTTTAAAATGGTTTTAAAGTATTTATTAACACCTTTGAAAGAGATTAATGAAAACAGTGACACATGACAGTGTAAAACGACTTAACTTCAAATAATTATATAATATTTATTTTAAAAATTTTTTTGTTTATTCGTTTATTGAATTTTGGGAAAAATACATGAAACTTGATTCGAAGATAAAAAAAAAACCTATCATTTTAATATTAGATATTAAACTTTAACCTTTCATGTTATTTTGCCGGTAAATACACATACAAATTTTTAAAATGAAATAAATTGATAAATGTTAATGTACAAATAAGTTGAGAAAAAATGTTTAATAATAGGGTTTTATAACCTAAATTTTTAAAATGGCGAATTCCAATACTCATGGTCTGGTCATTATGAATCAATAGAGCTTAAAGAGAACGCGCGAGTTGATAATGTTTAAGTAATAAAATAAACATATTAACGTACCTGTGGTAAATTTGCAGAGATTTGCCTCTGAAGAGAATCCCTTTCTTTTTCAACTTCTTGAAGTTTTGCTTCAGCTTCCCCTAACCGCTCTTGAGTTTCTCGTAAACCTTCCGAGAGCTTATCGCGCTCGTCCAACATAGAAATCATGAGCTGTTCGAAATTTGCATCCTCACCGGAAAACTGCAAATTTCTTTGAGTAGTACTATCCTCATTTATTGTGGGCATCACGTCACACATCATGTTCCACATTTTGGTAAATTATTATCAATAATTATCACTAAAATGGGAGAATGCGCCCGCGGCAAAATTTAATGGACACTCATTTCGATTTTCCAAACACTCGGTTATTACCTGAAACGTTTAGCGATTTCAAAAATAAAACTGTTTTTAATATTATTAAAATGAAATAACAATAAATTAAGCTTTTTAGACATTATGGCCCGGTTTTATAAAACATGACACACCTAAAAACACTGTTTAAAACTATCTTTAACCAACACTTTCCGAACCGATCAGCCATCTTGGGCAATGACGTCAGAATACAGCTACTTTTGAATGACAATTCTACTACTGAAGTTAATTTACTTTTAAGAATGTTAAACAAACAATCATTTTTAAGCAAAATATTATTTAATCTTATTTAAATAATTGTTCTAAATAATTTTTATATATAATTTATTTTAATTTTTTCTTTAATTAACCAATAAATTCTATTTATAATTTTTTTTGAAAAAAAAGAGGGCAGCACTGCTCAAAGCTAAAATGCGTGCTTTAAGCTAAATGTGGTATTAGAAAACACCATCTTTAGACGAAATTTTTAGACATGCTTATTAAATCGAGTTGAAGACTGCGTTCAGAAAAAAAATAATTACTCTTAATGTAACAATAATAATAAAGCTGTACACATTTTTATAAAGATGTTTGTAATATTTGTTTTTACTTAGCAGAAAGAAATTTAATTGTTAGTGATTTAAATATTTACGTGATTAAATTTTTTTTTTACTACTTTTAAGATTAATTTAACAGGTTAATTAAATGAATTTCTTTTTTTTTTTTTTTTATTAGAAATCATAATTTTACCTTAAATAAATACTTAAAAATTATTTGAAATGGGTCCATCTAAAAGGAAGGGTTCCATTAGAAGACCAGTTTTAGATTTGAATACCAAAGAAGATTCTCCTTCTAGACCTACTTGGCAGAGTAAGCTATTTAATATTTAAACTTATGTAATATATGTAAAATGAATATTAAGCTCTATTTAATGATTTGAGTTATTAAAAATTTTAAAATTACAAATGATAAATTGTTTCAGCAAAATATCAGAATACTTTGCCAATAGATGAAAATGGAGACTCAAATACAACCCCTTCATCCGTCACCAAAAATAATCCTTTGTCTACTATATTAGGCAATTATAATTCTGACAGTGAGGATGAGACAACTCAAAAACCTGCTTCATCTCTAGATGCTCAAGTCGAAGATTTCCTAAAAGAAATTCATACTTTATCAGTTAATAACAAAGAAGCACATGTGACTAGCAAGTCAAGTCCAACATCAACTGTTACAAATAATTCCAAAAAAGAAGAAATGCATTATCTGCCATCTGTAACTGCTTGGCAACAATGCTATGATCAGAATTCAGGATATCCATATTATTGGAATACAGAAACAAATGAAGTTACATGGGAAATTCCAAATGAAGTAAAAGCTGCCCTCAGGGATTTTGTGGCTAAAGAAGAACAGCAAGTAATACAAAAACCTCAACAACAATCACAACCAAATGTAGTAGAAAAGAAAAAAGTATGTAGGTATCCCTGGCAAACAGAAAGTGATTCTGAAGATGAAAAAATTGAAATGATAACATCATTTGGACCTCAATCTGATGAAGATTCTGGAGAAGAAAATGAAACTCAAAATCAAAAAAATTCTAAAGAAGTTAATTCGAAACTGTCTTCAAAAATAATAAACTGTGTTAATTCAAATATTAAGACTGGATGTATTAGCCTTGCCCCTGAGGATCCAGAAAGATTGAATGAAAATTCATATGAGACATCTTCATTATTGGCACATGGTGTTATAGATACTGGACCACCAGGTGATGATAGTTTTAATACAATAAATGAGGGTATTACATCAAAAAAAGTGCCTACATCTGTTACAAAAAAAGAATTATCTAGTTTACAAATTGAAAATAAAGAAAAGGATGATCAAAATGTAGTAATTAAACAAAATGATCCTGTTAAAAGTGTAAATGAACAAGGTAATGACACTAGTGAAAAAGAAGTTATTTTAGAAGTTAATGATGTTATTGCTCAAATTGAAAAAGAAACTCCACCTGATTACATGGACAATTCAAAAGCAGAAAAATTAATGGAATTACCAGAGAGTGATTCTACTTTGGTAAAAGAAATGCTTAAAAGCACTAATCCTTCTGTTATGGCACTAGTGGCCAATTATGGAGATGATTCTGAATCGGAAGAAAATGCCTGTAGTGAAAAACATAAAAATTTCAAGTCTCCAGTAGATTCTTTGAAACCACTTTTTCCCATTGAAGTACCCCAAGAAACAGCAAAAGTAAAACCATTGTTTCCATGTATGAGCAGCGAAATTCCCAAACTTAATGTGGACCTTCAATCGAAAGATTCAAATCAATGTGAGCCTGAATCAGTTGGAAACATCTATAGCACACAATTAGAAATTAATGATCCAGCAGCTTTAAAAGCATTTAAAAGGAAAAAAAGACTAGAGTTTGTTACAAAAACATCTCAATCTTCTTCAACTAGTGTTGAACCTGAATTTAAAAGTGGTATCGAAAGTTCAGTTAATGTTCCTAGTACTGTTTATAATATGGACCCTAGTATGAATGAAAGAAGAGGATTTGGTTTTAGCTCGTTGAAATCACAATCTAGCACTGACAAAAAAACTCATAAATATTCTAGTGGGATACAGTTTATCAAAGCAGAGACTATCAATTTTAGTAATGTTTTAAAAACGAAGGAGGAATCATCAGAAAAAGAAAGCGATGTCACATGTCAGTTTTTTTAAATAAGTAATTCTCCCAATAATTAAAATATGAACCATTGATAATTGTACCATTTTTTTCTTAAATTTTATTGTAGGTGCTCCAGAAAATGTAGATGCAAAGGAAACAAAGGTCCAAGATGAGGAGATTGAAAGTGCTGCTATTTTGCTTAAAGAAAAAGTTACATTTTTGATTGGAGAAAACAATGAAATATCTCCAATTCAACATATGGCCATTGAATTAGAGGTCAGTAAAAAATAATTAATTTTTTTAAAATTAATTTACGTTTAATCCCCGCAATATTTTATTATAATCATAAATTAAATTCAAACTTTAATTAATTAAAAGATTAAAATTATTTTGTTATTGCAGACATTAATTTTGGCTTGGCAGCAAGGCGCATTGACTCCGTCATATCTCTTGAGTTGGCTAAGTGACAAATGTGCAGAATTAATTCGCCATGAAAAAGAGGCGGCTCCGCCAGGATGGACCTGTTTATGGGATAGGTACGGTACTCTTTTTAATACCAACCTATCTCCTAATAAATCACTCAACTATTTCCTTCAAGTTGGGATCACTTAATATTATTATTATTGTCTTCCTCCCATCAATTATTAGAGAACAAAAAAAAAAAAAAAAAATTTGTTTTATTTCGAGAAAAAAAAAAAATAATAATAATAATAATAAAAAAAAAAAAAAAAAAAAAGTAAAATTATACGAAGTCATCTACAAGATCAGCGGACTATATATATATTTGTTCGGATATGATTATTTGGCTTTGAGTGAACTACTTTACTTGGACGAAAAAGGAATGAATGAATCTATTACGAATTTTGCCGTCTTCTTCGGAAACTGTCGTCCGAGTCCTGTAGCTCCCTTTTGGTAAGATTATTTCAACTGGTAATCATATATACAAAAAAAAAAAAAAAAAAAAAAAAAAAAAAAGTTAAAAAATGTAAAAAATCAAATTTAGGGATATATATATATATATAATTTTATTTTAAAAATTTTTATTCGCATGCACTCAATTGTTTTTTATTTATTTATTTATTTAAAAACAATTATGTTTTATATGGGGAAAAGATATCCCTAAGTTTATAATAAATAAATCTCAAAATTATTATTAATAATTATATATTGTAAAAATTTTACTTGATTCGTGATTTTAATTAAAATGCAAAATAAAAAAAAAATAAAAAAAATGTCGAAATTTTTCTTGAGATTTATTTTACAAAAAAAAAAAATTATAATAAAAAAAAATTTTTTTTTTTTTAACCTTTTCTTGATTTATGCTTTGATCGATCATGTTTCAGGTTTCATGGATATGTATTATATGAATGATTGAAGTCTACTTTCTACTCACCTGCGTTCAAAAACAACTTGAAAAAAATCTCAATGCTTTATATATATAAATGTCTATCTATTTATCTATCTATCTATTTATCTACCTATACATATATATTGTTTTTTTTGTTTGTTTTAAACCTAACTCGCTTTACAATTTATTTTACGATTTTTAAAAAAAAAATGTTATTTATATTTCAATAATTGTAGGAAAAAAAAAAAAAAAAGTTGGTTTTTACCACTTTTATTTTATATATTTACCTAATTTTTGTTTTTTATTTATTTATTTATTTATTTAAAGTTGTATTATTATTATTTTTATTATTATTTCAAAATATAACAAAAAAAAATGTTATTTATTTATTTCTGTTTCTTCCAAGTTTTATAAAATGATTTTAAAATTTATGTATTACAATAATTTTTTTTTTCTTTTTTTTTTTTTTTTTCCGGGAATTTAGGAAGAATAAAAGATATTACTACCGAAATGTGGCAACAAAGGCAATCCAATGGGAGTATCCTGAAATAAGTGAAAAAATCAAAGGTGGAAAGGAAAATGATCAAGATGGCGGCACAGACGAAATGGATATTTGTGATACTCCTCCTCATTTGTCACCGACAAGAATGGAAAAACGGACAAGTAATAATAAAACTTTAAAATTTTATTTTAATTTTTAATTAATGGAGAATGATTGATTGCATTTTTTTTTTTTTGTATTTCAGATGAGACATCATCCGTGTCGCCGATTGCTACCAATGAAACCGAAGAAGTAGTAGCACTTTCGCAAAATTCATTGTCTCACCCGCCACCCTCACCGCAAATGATCCAACAAAACACTGAAAAAGAAATTTTATCCTCGGTGACAAAAACTGTAAAAAAGAAAAAAAGAAAGTTGAATGAAACAGTGGTAAAAAAGAATGAAGGTATTTTTAATTTTTTACCATTGAAGTGTAAAAGATTCAAACGATAGATGTAAAACGGAAAATTTGCTACTTTCAGGTACAGCAGAAGATAAAGTACTTGATAGACCGTCAAATTTTTGCGAACAGCAATCTTCTGAAAATATAAACTCTGCTCCACCTCTTCCGCCATTACCTCCACCACCTCCTCCGCCTCCTGATGAATCACCTCCACCTTTGCCTGATTCTCCTCCTCCTCTTCCTCTAGATCCTGCTCAGCCTTTGCCTCCTGGAGTCGACGAACCTGAATATGCGGTGTATAGAAGAGTCTCTCCTAAACATTCTTATAAAAAAACATCAAGCGATTCGGCAACTTACTCAGCTGAATTAATGATGACGTATGGATATACGTTACCCGTTCAGCAAGTCGTCTCGAACGGTCAAGCAATGACCGTGCCTATACAACCCATTGAATATCACACTTACATGCACGATTCAGTATCCAATCCTTATCTAGTCCAATCCGCACACACTTCATCTCACGTCATACAATGTTCCGCTAAAAAACCCAAACTTTCTCTTAAATCCGAATTAATGTCTTTCTATTCCGATATTGCACAATTGGATGCCGCCAACGAAAGTAATTCGAATTCAGAAACTCCCATCGTTACATGCGCATCTACTCCAAACATAACGACACCACCCGTAACTACGGCACCAGCTACAGTAGTAACAACCACAACAACCACTACTGCTTCAGTTGTACCTGCCGTTTCTAGCATTGCAAAAGCAACCGAAACGTTGCCATCGAATGGTATTACTTTGAAGAAAAAGAAAAAGGTAATGTTTGTGATGATTCTTGAGTTTAAAATTATGTTGTAATTTTTGTATTAAAATAAATTATTATTTCAGACCAAAACCGGAAGTGGGCTATCGTTGAAAAAAAAAGGCGTGTCAAGTTTGGTGGCCAAATGGCAGCAAGTTCAACAGGAAGTTAGAAGAGATTTTAGTGAAGATGATGATGAAGAAGAAGAAACTTTGATAACAAAATAAATTTTAATTATTGATATTATTATTATTATTATGTAAAGGTACAAAAGTGAAAATAATTTATATCGAGTGTAATAAATTTACAATTTTTTTACTCTTTTTCTTGTGAAACATAAATATGATTATTATTTTAATTGTAAAAATGGACAAAAGTTTTTTATTTATAAATAATTCTGATTGATTGATTGATTTAATATAATTAAATTATTCACTAAAATCATTACAGTGAAAAATAAATTTTTAAATGATTTTATTGCAAAAAAATTATTTACAATATCTATCGGCTTTCATTTTACTTCGTCTATCCAAAAGAGCTTCATGAAAATTACCATCGTCTTTTGCTTTTTTGAGTGCATTTTTATCTTCTTTACATATTTTTAATTTTTTATCCTGAAATTTTTGAAATTTTCTTACAAAATTTTCTTCTACTTGTGTTAAATTTCCTCTTTCTTCGACTGGAACATCTGCATCGGGATCTTTTTCAGTTATGAGAGAAGTCCTTATTTTTAAAAATTCACTTTCACCAGCTTTTTTATTTTTTGCAACTATACTATCATCACTAATATCGGCTGACATAAAACAATCGTTACTGGCTAAAAGAGCAAGTTTTCCATCCTGAAAATGTAACATACAAGTGTTTAACATTAATAACTACTAAGTTTCTAAGTAAACTTATGGATAATGTGTAAAATTTAACCTGAAAAACAGGTTCCCATTGTTCTAAAAGACCGACAGCATCTGATCTGCCGATTACTAAATCATTTTTATCTACACTTATGTATTTTCCATATCCCGATTTGAATGAAACTTTTCTTTCGTTGATAATAAATGCAGTTAAAATTTCTTCTGGAGCTGGTCCTTCACCTATCAAAAAGAAGTATTGTTATTACAGGTAATAAAAAAAAAATATATTTTTAAGTTTTCTATTTTTAATGTTCAAAAAAAATTTTTACCCTCATTATGTGGTGCACCAAGAGTGAAAAGACCATTGTCTAATGCTTTTACATATGTCTGATCTGAGAATTCAATACACACGGGTCCAGTTATATCTTCTAATTTTTTAACTGACCACCACCCTCCATGTTTAATAGCATCTTCATCTTTTTCAACAGCGACAGTGCTGGATTTTTTTTTATGTGATTTATGCTTTCTTTTTCGGCTAAAATTAAACTTTTTTAATATTAAACACTACAAAATAAGTCCAAAAAATATTTTAATTTATTTACCTCTCTTTGACTCCTTTGAGAGTTAATTTTCCACGTTTAATTATATCGTATTCTGACATTAGAAAAGAAAAATAATATAAATAACTTAAAAAGAGTATAGTTCCAAAAGATCTAGAACAATTCTCGAAAACAAACAGGTTAGCCAACATTAAATTCGTAAAGAGTTAATTGTCGGATTGTAGCTTGTAACTGACAAAATTCAAAGATTTTTTTTAATCAGGTAAAAAAAGTATTTAATTAGTTTTTTACAATTTATTATCGTATTTATATTGTTCTGTAAAATATAAAAATTCAATAGAAAGCAAATTAGGTCGTCGAGTAGCCATTACAAACGTATCTCCCGCTAAAAAAAAAGTAACACATTGAAAGCTTTGAAAATTCATTCTAAACGTTTTTTCTTTTTTTTCTACTGACGTAAGCATTAATTTTTTTTTATCAAAAATTTTTAATCTTTTTATTCACATTTCATTCTATACATTTTTTTAAAAATGTTTTCGCTTTTATTCAGTAATTATTACACTCGTCAACTTTTTAAATTAAATATTCTTTGTTAGTGACAAAGTTTTTTTCCCGCCCTTGTCTGCTGTAACTGTATGAAATATTAAAACTGGCCGCCATTAAAGTCATATTAACATGTTAACTAGATTTTAAAATTAATATTAAAAAAAAAAGGGGGAATATTAATGAAATTTTTTATTGTAAATATTGTTTTGTATATTTTTGTATCTACATATTTTAAATTAATGTCTTATTTGGTAATATGCAAATAAAAATTTTTAGTTTAAATAAAAATCATTTAAGTATCGAACCGAATCCGGGTCAGTTTAAATAATATGTTCAGATAAAAAAAAAAAAAAAAAAAAAAGAAAAAATAAGATAAAAATTGTGTAACTGAATCGCATATACTTTCTTTTTTTTCTGTTTGTTTTAATCAAAACATGTTTCAGTAAGATTTTTCACAAAAAAATATTTAATTTTTTGAAAAAATTTTATTGAACAAAAACCTCATACAAAAGCTCACTATATTGTAGGTTTGTACTATTTAGATTCATTGTTTTTTGCTTTTCCTAATCTACAATCTAATTTACAATCTAATTTTATACCTTAAAACTAACTAAAATAATAGGTATGAAAATTAATTATTCAAAAATGTTATTAGTATTAATATATACATGATTCCCCTCATTCAAAATTTCAGCAACTTCCGCACTGTATATAAGTACATAATAATCCGTGGGAAATAATTTTTGTTACTTTTGGAGACTGTATAGTCCTGTTGTCCCAGTGCAGATCCTTCCTTGCAGCTGTCTCATTTATCTTGTTTTATTTAATTTATTTTTTTTATAAGAGATAATTGAACATAATAAATTGTTGTAAGTCTAACAATAAACATTCATCCATATATTAATATATAAATGTATATAGTTTGACCTTTAATGAAATAACCACCCTCCATGTCATTTAACTATCCAAACAAACTAATACCTCATTAAAAATAAAGGGAATCTTTCAACAAGGTTGAAAGTGTCATGAACTCAAATTCAAAATTTAATAATTAATTAATTTAATTTAATTTGTATAATTCTATATCACATTTTTACCCTAATAAAAAATCAAAAAGGAAAGAAAAAAAAAACAAATTTAAACAAGTTATGAATAAAATAGTTACTTTAAATGGAAATAAAAAAAAAAAAAAACTTTTTTTTTTTTTTTTAAATCCATTCATTATTTACTAAATAAACAATTTTTTTAAAAAAAAGTTCTGTTAAAAATCTTTTAAAACATTTTGGAAATTTGTTTTTTTTTTTTTTGGGGGGGGGGAAATTTGTATTTTTTTTTTTTAAAAAAATACCCTTTGGTGTTTTTATAAACAATTTTAAATCAAATAGTTTTTTTTTTTTTTTTTCCTTTTTGAACTTTGTTTAAAAGAAATCACTTTTTTTTTTTAAGATGATAATGACTAATAATAATAGTTTAAAAAATTTTTACAGGTATTTTTGTTTTGTTTAAAGATGAAGAGACAGCGGTTAACCACTTCACTCACTCATCCGCCATGATGACATACAAAAAAAAAATGAGAAAATTAATTTGTCAAATAGAAAAATCAACAAAAAATCATAAAAATTTTTTGTTTTCAATGCCAGAGATTCATCGGCTTTCTTGTCATTTGCTTGGGATAGGATAGGTTGTATAAATATTTATTGTATTATGTACATAACTTGAAAAAAAAAAAAAAACTTGACAAATCACTTATTCTTTTTTTTTTTTAAAGTTTATTCACTTTATTTTATTTAAAATTTTTTTTTTGGCGTACCACCACTTTTGTATTATTATTAAATTATTAAAAATTTAATTGTGTCCTATCTTATATTTAATTAGATTTTTTTTTTTATATAATTATTATTTTAAACAATGTCAAAGTTCATAATTTGATGCAGAATCACTAGTAAGTAAGTAAGGCTGATAGATAGATAGTAAATTGCGTAAGTGAAATAACAATAAATTGTGACAATTAACAACGGAAGAGTTTCCTATTAGTATATCTACCAACTTCCCGTTTTGACAAAATTACATTGGGGGGGCCAGCTTTTAAAAAAGCTGGGGGAAATTGCAGTTTAGATATAATGCACTCTAAAATAAATTTTTTTACATTACTTGTCTTACATCATTTCAAATAGTAATTGTTAGTGTAATGCAAAAACTTTTTTTCATTTTTAAAATTTATATAAAAATAATTATATAATATGTATAAAAAAAAAAGAAAATTGTTTTTATGTATTGTTATATCAAATGTTTATAAATTTAACAAAGTTTTTTTTCTTTTTTTTTTTTTCAGGATATAATATAAAATTAAATAAAAGCATAAATATTTATCGTTTTGGAAAATGTTTTGTTACATTAGGAGAATTTTTAAGGTACAAATTTTGAGGGCAGGATATCAAGTAAGAAAAGTATATAACAGAACCAGCGTTGAAATGGGTAAACCAGAACCAAATAAAAGCTGAAGAAGTGATCGAGCGTTTGGATCACCAACTGTCCGAGGGATTCAGTCGTTGAAGGACTACGGATGGTGGCACTAGCCTAATTTTACTACAGCGCACGTGTTATTAATTTTTATTACGGTTTCCTTCTGCTATTTTTTTTTTTTTTTTTTTGTTTCTAAATGACGTAGTTTTTTTAATAACGTATAATAATAATAATAATAATAAATTGTTTAACGGTGTGAAAATGATAAAATGTGTGTCGTGAAAATAAAACGTTGAAAACAAAATGAAAAAGTGCAACAGGTTAAATAGTTTTGTTTTTTTATTTTTATTTACTATCGTTATGCTGTTTGTTGTTGTTGTTGTTGTTCATGCCAAACAACAAGATTTAGATCAAGATTTTCACACAGTTTGTTCGCAAAGATGTCTTTTTCAGGTATTTACATACATTTTTTTTTTTTTTTATCATTTCAATAATTTATTTTAACTTTTTAAAATTTGAAAATATGGACAAGATGACAGATGATTGTTGTGAGTAATATACAAATTAATTAAAAAATTTTTTAATCCGAGAAACAATTAAATTTTTTAACAAGAAACAACAAAACTAATTGATTTAAATTTTGAGTAAGCAATTAAACCGAAATGACGCAATGGAAAACAATAATAATAATAATAATAATAATATGCAACGTTATTCGTTAAAGAAAAAATTCGAAATTCAGTTTTAAATAAATGATTTGAACATAATTGAACACATAACACAGGATAGAAAACGAGTAAAAAATTTTTTATTAACCGACATTCAAGGACGGTTTAAATTTAATGTTAAATGTTTCACATCAATCCCATTTTCGAATATTCATATTTATTTATTGTTATAAAAATATTTTCAACAAATTCGAATTTTTTTTTAATTTAATTTGATTTTGCACAAACAGGAAATAAAAAGTCGATTAACGTTTTTTTTGAAAACGTTCAAACGTTTATTTTTACAGGGTAAACTAGTAAAAAAATTTAAATTTTAAACAAAAAAACGTTTCGTGATTTATATATATAAAAAAAAAAAAAGCGAATAAAATAAAATTTACTATTAAAAAACTTTAAATTTATCCGGCGCCATAGATTAAACGGTTAAGGTTCAACGTTTCGTATAAATAAATAATTTTTAAAACGTTATCAAAATCTATAACCGTCATTTTTTACAAATAGATAATTTTATTTTTTTGCAAAATGATAATTGATTAAATGATGTATAAATAATTTTTCTTTTATTACGATTAATTCGAATTTAAAAAGAAAATGGTGGAAAAAAAATTTTTCATTTGCGGTTAAAATAATTTATTTTTATTGATATTGTTTAACTTTAAAAAAAAAAAAGAAATAAAACAATGTTAGCCATGTTTAAAAAAAAAAATTGTTTATTTCGTGAAGAAATTTTTTTTTTACAAACGTTTGTTGTTTAAAATTTAAATGACCTTTTCGATACAAATTGTGTATTAACAAAAAAAAAAAAAAACATGGTACCCGTTTGTCGGTTACAATTTTTTAAATAACAATTCAATAATTTTATTTAATGATGACACCACACCTTTGAGAAAAGAACAAAAAAAAAAATTTAAACAAATTATAAAGTCAAATATTAGTATTTTAATTTTTTTTTCTTTCTTTCTTTCCTTCCCCGAAGAAAAAATTAGTTTTTCTTTTCTTATATATTATTATTATTATTATTATTGGGGATGATAATTAACGTTAAACAAGGGGACTTGGTTGGTAGGAAGGAAGGATTTTAGTCAGTCAAATCGGTTGACTCGTAACAAACAAACAAACAAAATTCATTTCCATTTCAACGAGTTTTGAATTATGGTGAGACCGGATTTCGATCATTACACCTGTAAAATGAAAAAAAATCAAATACCTATGAAAACAGGTAGAATGAACTTTTTATACGAATGGAATAAACTAACCCCAACCCCCTCCCTTTTTTAATTTCTATATATGAACTCTACAGGTCATTCAAACCTTTTTCTCGAAACAAACCACATTTTTTTGTGTTTTTTTCTGTGTAATATAATATACGAATTTAGAAGTTTCTAGAAAAATTTAAACAAAAAACAAAAACAATTTTAATAAAATTTAATTTTCCCTTTGATTATTTTTAAGCCACATTTTTAAATCAATGAATGATTGTTCCTTTTGTTTGTTTGTTTGTTTGTTATTCCTGTCCCTAAACCGGACATACCGAAACTATTTATTATTATTATTATTATTATTATTATTATTTAACGGATTGCTAATTCACCGTGAAATTTTTATTGAAACGTTACAAACGAATTTTTTTTTTTTTTGTTTTTTTTTTTGTTTTTCATTCAAAAAACAAATAAATAAATTAACGTAACAAAACCTACGCTTTTCGTTACTCAATATAATAATAATAATAATTATTATTATTATTATCGATGATAATTAATAACGTGTTTGTATTTATTGATTTCAGAATAAAACAGAAGATCATTTCGATATAGGATGTGGAAGCGAATGTAAAACCGATCAGGTAAAAATTATTAATTACATTAATTAGTTTGAATGAAATTTTTTTTTTTTTGTTAATTTGCCCTCGTGAAGTACTTGCCCCCCTTTTAACTCCCTCCCCCCACCCCCGGGAAAAACAAAAATCCTCGAAGTGAATCAAACGATTGTATTTCCGTTATTCGTTTGTTTGTTTGTTTGTTAACCTATCGAGGCTTCCCATTAAAAATAATTTTTTTTTTTTTTAAAAAAATTATTTAAAAGGAAGTCAAAAGTCATCATAACGTGAAGACTTGATTGTAAATGTCGCACCCTTTGAAAGTGGCCGGAAACGGAAGAGAGTCTTCACAATCGAGTGGTGGCTACTACTTAAATCACCCCCCTCAATAAGATAATTAAAGTCATTCTTTTCCCCCCCCCCGGTTTTTTTTAAAAAGTGTTTTTTTTTTTTTTTTTATTTACTCAAAGGTAAGAAAGAATATATAAAATTAAAAGGGTATTTTTAACATGTTGGGTTTTTTTTTTTTTTATTACAAAAACTTATTTGGGATTCGTGTGTGCTGCTAGCAAAAATTTTTCCCCCAAACCGGAAACGGAAAGCAAATGTTTGTCGAAAAATTAAATTTATTTACTTTTCAATCGAAATTTTAATAAAATTTTTCTATATGAATAATTTTGCTATAGTTTCCTTTTGCTATTGTTCAATTTTTCAAACGGTTTTAACGGTTTTTAAAACAAAAAACAAATTTTTAAATTACTTAATATAAATTCGTCTGCTAAAAAAAAAAACGTTTTAATAATACTAATTAAAATTAATAACAGTATTAAATTAATTTTAATAATTGGTTATTTAAACAAAAAAAAAAAAAAAAAAAACAATTTAACTAACGATGGCTTCCATTTTTTTTTTTTTTAATAACAGTCGTTTAATTTTTACCAACTTAACGGAAAAAAAAAAAAAAATTTTCTTTTTATTCTCGTTGTTGTTTTTTTTTTTTTTATAAATTATCGAAATAATACAAATTATTATTCTTGAAACTAAAAAAAAAAAACTACAAAACTAAAAAAAATTTTTAGTTTTTAAATTTACGGCCGACATAGACGTCGAATAAACAAACAGAGTTGGTTGTAATTAGGAAGTAGGAAATTAGCGTAAACCCCCAGTTAAAAGAGAGAGAGAGAAAGAGAGAGAGAGAGAGAGTACACTCTCTGACTTGGAACTAATTTTTATTTATTATTATTATTATTATTATTAATCATTATCATCATCGCATCGTCATCAAAAATAATAATAATAAAATTTCTCTATTATTTCAATGATTTTTCTTAGAAAAGGTTTTTCCTTTTTTTTTCATTAATAAAACTTATTCATTTTATTTGATGATTATTTATGAAAATAATCCATAAAAAAATTTTATGAACGAAATAAGAGAACGACAACAAGAACAAGAACAACAACAACAACAAAAACAAAAAATTTATTAATGAACTTAAAAAAAAAAAAATTTTGACCTTTTGAATTTATTTTAACCTTTTTATTTTTTATTTTTTCTAAAGCAATAAAGTCATTAAATTTTTTTTCTTTTTTTTTTTTTTTTATTATTTATATTTTTACTGTTTGTTGCTGTTGAAAAATAATTGTTGTTGTTGTTGTTTGTTAAAAACAGTAAAAAAAATTTTTCGTTTCTCTATTCGAGTACCGTAAAAATAATAAATAAGGGGAAAATAATTCTTTTTGTAAATAGGGAAGCCATTTTGAATTTAGTTATAAATTAATTTGTTTTTTTTTTTTTTTGCATTTTAAGTTGGCGTCTTGTCGATTGCCCCCTCTCTCTGTAATCGCACGAGGAAAAACAATTTAAAAAATTAAAAATTTTCAGGGGAAAAAAGGGATAATTTTTTTGTTATTAGTTCAAAACGTTGTAAAAAAAATTTTTTAATAATTCGTTCACCTTTAAATAAATAAACAAATTTAAAAAATTAAATATGGCGTCTATAAATTTGTATAACTTCCCTTCAGTTCATTTTGTTTAAAATTATTTTTTCCCTTTAAAACAAATAATTGTTTTTCTTAGACGATAGGGGTTAATTTTTGATTTTCGAATTAAAATCTGCGGGTCAATATTATTTTTAACCCAACACAATTTTTTTTTTTCTTTTCGTATAAAAATAATAATAATAATTAAATTAAAATAAATAAATCATATCGGAAAATTAAATTTAAAATAAATTTTACGTATAATTAGTGACACTAATTAATGTTAAAACTATGTGATAATAATAATATTTCGACGACAAACATATAAATCGTAATAATAATAATAATAATAAAAAAGGGGGGAAAATCAACCCTCCCCCCCTCCCACGGAACTTTTACATGTTAAAATTTTTATTTAAGTATTATTATTAATAATAAAAAGAAAATTTTTAAAAAAAAAAAAAAAAAAAGGTTATCACACTGATTTTTATGAGTTGTCAGGGTCATAAAAATGAGGCAAACCATTTATTAAGCTTTGGGTTAATGTCTTACGAGGGTTATCTACAGCGTAGGTTTAATGCATCGTATTAACTCCTTGCCTACATAAAAAAAAAAAAAAAAAATTTGACGCAAAAAATAGTAAAAAAAAGAAAAAAAAAGGAAAAAAAAGGCTGTAATTAACTGTTTGTGTAAAATACTAATCCAAAATGTTTTGCATTATAATAATATTCATTTAAAATCGTGGTATGGTTTTCATCATTATTAATATCATCACACCCCTCTGATATTTTCATCATAAGTGTGCCACGTTAGGGGGGGGGGTTAAATTGGTTAGCCTGTGCATGTCTGGTGCATGTTAAAAAAATGTACAAAAACCCCTAATTTACAAATGTTTTCCTTTTTAAAGCATTTCAACACCTTCACAGTCGATTTATTAATAATTTATTAAATATAACATAAACCTTAAACCATTTGACACCATTTTAAAAACCAACCTTAAATAACTAAATTAGGTGTTAAGAAAAATAAATCAATCGTGAAATTAAATAATGAATGAGCCATTTTTTTTTCTTTTTTTTTTGATTCTTCCTTGTTATAAAGATTTTATTAAAAGATTTATTATTAATTAATAAAGCTATAAAAGTTAGTCTTTACATTTATTATTATTATTATTACTTTGTAAAAAAAAATTTGGTTTATTAAATTAATAATGACTTGACGTTAATTTACATGTTATTGCTTTCCCCCCCCCCCTATTTACTACTTTATTTTCTTTTGTTTCCAAAAAAAAACTCTGCACCTGTTTTAAACCTTTTTGAAATGTGTAGTAGTAAAAAAAAAAATAGGCTAGAAAATTTAGTCGCAATTTAATAAAAAACTGTCATTCATCAATTAAATAAAAGATTTTCAACAGCAAAAAGTCTGTTGAAACAAAAGCAATTGATGATGGAGGAGTCGAAGAGAGAGAAAGAAATAAAAAAAAAATTTGTTTTATTTGCCACGTGCTTTGAGTCTTAGAATTTTCTTAATCTATTGAGACACATACACACACGCACACGCACACACACACAAATTTTTATTGCATTAATAATAAAAGTGGCAACCTCAGACATGTAGCTCACGTACACGCACACACACAAATATGGGATGATTTTTCCCATAAGGGGGCCCACGCGTAATGTTTTCATACGCTAACTCTCCTTAAAAATGCTTTAAGGGCTTTTTTTATTTTTTTTTTTTGTAATTGGGTACCTGTTAAATTTTTGTCGGGAAAATTAATTGAAATTTTCATCGGGGGGGGGGGGTTGTTGCATGAATAAAAATTAATGGTTTAACAACATTGTTTTATTTTTCAGTGTTTCAAAGGTTGTCTTCTTTGGCGAAAAGCCCTAGAGAGTAGTTGTCAAACGGTTTGCGTAAGTATTAGTTTTTCCATTTCCGTCAACGTTTTATATATTTTTATTTCATGTAAATCAATATCATAAAATTATGGGAAATTAAAAAAAAAAAAAATTTGCAGAACGGTACCCAAAATATTATTTCTCAAAAAGAACTTCATTGCGTTATGGGATGTAACGATGCAATAAATCAATTTTTTCAAAAACTTAAAGGTAATTTTTTTTTTTTATAATGAGTGTGAAAATTTATTTAATTATTGAAAAGAACCCCAAATATTAAAATCGATGAAAATTTTTGTAGACGAAATAGGAGTTCCTCCAGCTCCTTATTTAGTGGCAGATACATTAACGGCAACATCATTGAGTTTAGCTTGGGAAAGAGTCAGATATTCGGAAATTAGTTATTTAGTTCAATGGAGATATGAAGAACATGCTGGAGCTTGGCAATATTGCAGAAATCAAAGTTGGGGTTCGAGTAATGTTTTACTCGTTGAAAATTTACAACCTTATACGAAATACAGGGTTGGTTTGTTAAGAATTTTCCAAAAAAATTTTCTGTTGAAAAATTAAAACAATTAAAAAAAATTATTTTTTAGTTTCGGGTTGCTCTTCTTCTATCGCATCATAGTGAACCTATTGTATCCGAACCTAGTGTCGTAATAAGTACGTTACCAGCAGGCGTACCTTCTTCTCCACCGATTATTATTAGAGTGACAGCAGTTGATTCTAAAAGGATTTCCATTTCTTGGAAACCAGGACCGTTTCCAAACGGTCCAATACATTCGTATATTTTAGAGCTTGTTGGAGAATTTACGGCTCTTAAGGAGGTGTGGTGTCAAAAAAACAAAAAATGAATTAATATTTGAAAATTATTTATTAAAAAAAAAACAAAATAAAATTTCATTTTAAATTCTTCTTCTTTTTCTTCTTTTACTACTTTCAACCTTTTTTCTGTACTTTACTGTCGATTCTTTCCATAAGTTTTATTAAATAAAAATTTAATATATATTATTTTAGGATATTCAAGCCACTAAAACGACAGATTTTTACATGTTTCAAAATTTAAATGCCAACAGTAAATATATTGTATCGATATCAATGCGAAATGCTGTTGGAGAGGGTCCAGCAGCAACAGCTGAAATATCAACACCTCCTGAAGTTTCAGGTATATATAATTCATGGTCAATTTTTTTAATTCCTGTTTTTTTTTAAATAAAACTAACAGAGGAAATTTTACAGTTAAGGACGCACTACAACCTATTTTAATCCTTGGTTCTGATTATCGGGTTATTAAACAAGGTGCAGATATGATGCTTGATGTTCCTGGAGTCATATACAAAACATCAAATTTAATCACTGGTATTATTATAATAATAATAATGATGCTATACTCACCAGAGTGATATGTTTTAAATTTCATGCATTATTTTTTACAAATTCAGGTATAGCCATCCACGTAAATAAAAACCTTCTTTTCGTATCTGATTCTGATGGTTACGTATCGGTGGCAACCTTAAAAGAATATTCGAAACCTAAACATTTGTTAACTCCTGTTGACATAATTTTCAAACCGTACGATTTATCAGTTGATTGGCTCAATCAACATCTATACATACTGGGAGAAGTAAATCATAATAAAGCAAGTTTGTGGCAAATAGCTAGGTCTTCGCTAAGTGGTAGTGGTCTAACGGTAGCTGTGGCAGGTATCACCAGTAAGCCACTGCACATTGAAGTTGATCCTTACAACGGGTAAATATTGTTTTCATCATAATAATAATTAATGTTACTATTACAAAACAGACATTTATTTTTTGATTTTTCCTTTAGATATCTATTTTGGCTCATTCAGGGTCACAACCGTGGGGGTCTTTATCGTTTAGATTTAGCCAATATTAGTAACGGTATTAAACATGAAGTGATTCCCGATCTCATTTTAGAAGATCCAAATTTAGGAGCTTTTGTTGTTGACCATGTAAACTTTTGCATATTGGTACCGAACCATCTTAAAAATACCGTTTATTCAGTTTCGTTGGACGGGTAAAAAAAAAAAATTTTTTTTACATTTTGTTAATTTTTTAAAAAAAAAAATTCATTTTGAAAAAAAAAATAATTTTTTTCAATAAATAGGAGAGAAGTTGCCGATTTGAGATCAAACACCCAACAACCACTTTTTCAAAACGTTTTGTCTTTAGCATTCGCCAACGGTTTATTTTATTGGACTAATGGCGAAGAAGTTTTAACTGAAGATTATCACGAAGAATATCACACGTATTTTCACAATCACTACCTCGGATCTAAAAATCGATCGTATATCGGTGTTTACATAGATCTTCCATCTTCGCAACCTATTCCGATTCCAGTAAATCCTCCGATTCATGTTCAAGCGGTGTTAGGCGGCCATGTTGCGAAAATTTCTTGGCAACCTCCTCACGTGGTCGGAGGACAAGGAAAAGGAGCGTGGCAAAATTGGTCGTACGAGCTACAGATTAAAAACGAAAAAACCGGAGAAATCAGAACGGAGAGAGATATAAACAATTCGACTTTTTACACAATCGACGGACTTGAAGAAAATACAGAATACGTTATAAAATTAGCCGCTTACACCTCATCCGGAAATGGTCCTTGGTCAAGCGGATTTCATGGGAAAACATTAAAAACACCTCCTAATGGACAATATCCAACAATTTTATGGTCGGCTGCGGAAGGTTTACTCGAATCTGATGTCACTGGCGAAGAAGTTGAAACTCTTATATCTCACGAAAATCTTAAGGTAAAACCTTGGAATTAAATTAATTTAATATTTATAAGAATAGATCTCATATGGTTTTTTTATACCTTTAAATTCTTTTTAGAATAACAATGGGGACTATCATTTTGTGGATATCTGCTGGTATCGTGATATATTATATTTAGTTACAAATACCACCAAAGTTTATTGGTATAATATGACAAGTCACGAATACGGTCATTTACATAATTTAGATTCCGTTGGAAGTATAGCTATTGATTGGTTAGGAAAAAAATTATATTGGTCGAATCCTAAACAACAATTGGTGAGCATTTTTATTTTTTTTTTTAAATAAATAATTTTTATTAAAAAAAAAAAAAATTTGATAATTTTCATTTAAAGATTATACGTGGAGATCTTTCTGGATTTTCACCTGAGCCATTATTGATATTAACAATAGCTAAAGAATTAAATATAGATTCGGAAAATGCTTTTATTTATTGGTCGACCGGACATACGGTTGAATGTGCCAGATTGAATGGTGATGGTAGGAGAGTGTATTATCCAGCAGAATTGTTTTCCGGTAAACAAGGTGAATCTAATTATCTTTTATTATTATTTATATTTTTCTTATGAAATTTTATAAATTGTTACACAATCGAATTTTTTTTGTATAGTTATGGGCCTAACGCTTAATTTGGATGACAGACATGTTTATTGGGTTGTGAGAAGCAATGAAGGATCAAATTTATACAAAGCACCCATGGCTCGTTCGAATGGAATAAATGAACAAGATTTACAACCCTTGAAAATTTCTGGTTTGAAGCATCCCAACATGCAGGGACCACTTTGTTATTTTAGTGATCATTTACTTTGGCTTCAAGATAATAAGAAAGCTGTAATTGGAGATCTTACGGGTCAAAATGCTGCCATTATTAGCGGTATGAGCTTACTCGGTTTGAACATGGTCGCCGTTATGGATCACAATTTACCCGTATTACAAGGTAATGATTATTTTCCCTTTTTTTATTTTGTAAAATAAATTATTTCAAATTAAAGGGATAATTTATCGGTTTAGATGATGAGATACAAGTGATTCCTGAACCAGTGGATTCCATCTCGATTCGTATAATAGGTACGTCCTCAGCTTTTAACATAACGTGGAATCCGGTTACCAACGTGAATTTCGGACAAGTTTTTTACGATATAAAAACCGAAGATAATTCTAAGGAGAGTATCGTTAAAGTCGCAGAAAATTATCTTGTTTACGACAGAGCAAAAGAACTGCCTCCGTATTCCGAGTTAAGGGTTACCATTCAAGCTTTCAGTTATTGGGGATCAAGTTCGCAAGTTATTAGAAAAATTAGATCTCCACCATCTTTACCGAGTTCACCGACGAATCTTAGAATTTTTATATCTCACCGACTAAATATAGATACGAGAGAAAAAAAAGTTACTGCATTGCTTCGATGGGATGCTCCGGAACAACCAAACGGTCTAATAACTACTTACAAAATAAAATATTTTTATACCGGCGAGAACAGCGAACGGGTGTTTCATGTTTACGCAAAACCTGATAAATTAGAATTAGAATTAGATAATCTTTATTTCAACGTAACATATTTTTTTCAAGTGAGTATAAGTAACAACCGAGGGAAAGGAAAGTTGCGGACGAAATTTAACTCAAAAAAAAAAATTTCAGGTCAAAGCTTTCACCTTAGCCGGAGAAGGAAAATATTCAAAACCTGTTCAAGCGAATACAAATTTAGAAACTCCTCTTCCCTTACTTTTAGTCACAACAAAAGATTCGGTAAAAATAATTGATTGCGATAGTAAAAGTACTTTGTTATTATCCAGCGGTGATCGTCCAAATGACATAACTTTCAACAGTAACGAAGGTTTGGTTTATTGGTTAAATGATATGCAAGAAATATTTGGAATGAAAATTGATGGAACAAAAAAATCAAAGGTAAGTTTATAAATATTATTAAAAAATTTAATTTAATTTAAAAGAGTCGTTTTATTTATTAAAAAACATTAATTTCAGATTCATATACTCAATGGAACTGGTCTTAGTTTAACGATTGATTGGATCGGAAGATTTCTTTACTGGTCGGAATTGGAAAATAAAGATGGAACCTTTTTAACATCAAGCATATTTCGTTTGGATTTAACTCAGCTTGAAAGTGGAATTTTTCACGTTGATAGAATAGTTAAAAGAACCGGACAAATTATTGAAATCGAAGTGTTGCCATTTAATAACTTATTATATTGGATTGAGGTTAATCAAGATGGAGGAGGACATCTTATGCAAAGTCGAACTGACGGTTCTAATTTGAGTCCGTTATTTTCAATGCCTGATGAAAAAAATGAAAACGAGTGTACCTGTACCGAAAATCCAATAATTGGAAGAGTTCTTTCCGTTGATCAAACAGATCCGTTTAATGTTGCTATTATTTATAGCAACGAATGGCAAGATTATATTTATCAAACGGAACCCAACGGTTGTGACTGTAGACTCATGGTTCATTCTTCAAAATTATCACCGACGTCTTTAACAACGGATCATAAGTACTTGTACTGGTCTAACGAAACAGAAGATTCTGTATTCATTTACAAGCAAAATTCAATAGAAACGTTTACACTTGAAGGAGTTAAAAAAATTATGGCTGTCGGTTCCCACCTCCAACCTTTCCCCCCCGTCAATTGTTTAATGGCCCAACAAGTAGCTCCGATACCAATTCTTTTAGATAATTCCGTAAGTTCGATAACGCTACAACTTCCACAACCAGAAAGAAATATTGAATGCAAAAATATATCATTACCATCTGTGCAATACATAATTTATTTCGATTCCATTACCGAAGATGGAATATCCGAATGCAACGAAGACATTCTCAAATGCAAATCGGTGATGACGTATCAACGTATTGTTAAAATCAACGATTTAGAACCATTTTCAACATATGTTTTTATGATATCCTTACGAAATTATTTCAATTTTTTAAAAGAACCTATAACGGGTCCTCCAATTATATACTCTACACTCGCCGGAGCACCATCCTCTCCTCAAAATGTGAGTGCCAAGGTTTTAACGCCAAATACTGTCGAAGTCAATTGGTTGCTGTCACCGAACAAATCAATCGACAAAACCGTTTCTTATCAAGTTCATTGGCGAACTGAAGGTATTGTTGCCGGAGTGAGGCAAAGTGGTGAACAAATAGTTGAAAAAACAGATCGTTTTAATAATTCTTCATTTAGTATTATAATAAAAAAATTAATACCTGGCCAAACATACTTAATTTGGGTGAGAGCTTATTCGAAATACAGTTCCATGTACAGTGAAAGTGAAAAAGTCGAAGTAAAAACATTTAAAAAACCCAACAACATAACATTGGAGAGAGCAAGTTCGTACAGTTTGGAAATATCGTGGATACCACCGAAAGAACACGTTCAACAATACGAAATTCAATATCAGGTTTTTTCAAGTCCTACCACCGCGGAATGGAAAAATATTTCTCCGAATTACGACAATGTTTACTCCATTGAAAATTTATCACCTAAAACCTTATATCGATTTAGAGCCAAAATAATTTATTTCAAATCTAAAGAACCCTACGTTTGGCCGCAAGAAAGAGGATTCGTTTTCGAAACTTTGGGTGAGCAGCCATTTTTAAAAAATAGTTTTTTTTTTAAACATTAATTTTTACCCACGAATAATTTTCATTTAGGTGATAGACCAAGTCGTCCCGGTACTCCAGTCATTCAACAACTTCGAAAAGACGTATATCAAGTCCTGTGGGAAAAATCACGGGATAACGGAGCTTCCATCGATTATTACGCTTTGGAAGGCCTCATTAAAAAAACATGGAGACGTAAACGAGAAACTAATTATTCAAATTTAATCGGAGCTTCGGAAAATGCATTCTTAGAAGAATGGAATCTTTATTACAACGGCTCAGAAAATTATTGGATAATCAATGAATTAAGTCCGAGTATGAAATATATATTTCGCGTTAAAGCTAAAAATTTATTCGGTTGGAGCGATTTTAGTGAAACGAGTAAATCATTTGATTTTACCGAAGCCGCCATGTTGGCCGATCAAGAAGAATTAGGTTTAGTTTTGGGGACGACACTTCCCGCATTACTTTTCTGTTGTATCGTCGTGATTGTTATATTTTGTTGTGGTAATTATTCGCGAGTATTTTTAATTTACAAGAAGAACTTTGAATCTACACTAATTGTAATTTTTTTTTTTTTTTTTTTTATAGTTTCGAAAATGCGTGAAAAAGAAAAAAAAGAACTTCAAATAATTACACTGAATACAAATAATAGATTGGGACAAACGGATGTTGAATTGGCGACACTTCGAGAATTACCAAGAAGAGGTAATTTTATTCACAATGCGAATATTTTATACGATCCGTCCATGGGACCGCCGATAAGTGAAGAAATTTCTCTTTTACCCCACATTCGTCGAGATCAATTTAAATTAACGAAATTTTTGGGGAGTGGAGCTTTTGGAGAAGTTTACGAGGGTACAGCACAAGGATTACCCACGACATCAACGGATACAAGAGTTGCCATTAAAGTACGATTAATATTTTTTATTTTATGTTTCATTATAAAGTATAACACATGTTGTAACCAAAATGAATTTTTTTTTTCAGGCATTGAGAAAAGGTGCTACGGAACAAGAAAAATCAGAATTTTTAAAAGAAGCACAATTAATGAGTCATTTTAAACACGAACATATTTTACAACTTTTGGGAGTCTGCCTGGATAACGATCCTAATTATATTTTAATGGAATTAATGGAAGGAGGAGATTTACTAAGTTATCTTCGCACAAGCAGACCATTAGTTGTTAGTCTTTTTTTTTTTTGAACCATTTTTTTTTCTGATTGAAAAACGTGTGGTAGTTCAAAAAATGTTTTTTTTTTGTTTGTCAGAACACTCCAAATTCAATAAAATTAAAAGATTTGCTTGAGATATGCGTTGATGTAACAAAAGGATGTAAATATTTAGAAGAAATGCATTTCGTACACAGAGATTTAGCTTGTAGAAATTGTTTAGTTTCATCAACGGATCCCAATTTAAGGATAGTTAAAATAGGCGATTTCGGTTTAGCGAGAGATATTTATAAAAATGATTATTATCGAAAAGAAGGCGAAGGTTTACTACCCGTCAGGTATGCATTATTATCAGGTATATTTATTTATAAAAAAAAAAAAAATTTTAATAATTTGATAATACTCGTGATGCATAGATGGATGGCTCCGGAATCATTAGTAGATGGAGTTTTCACTTCTCAATCTGATGTTTGGGCTTTTGGTGTTCTCATATGGGAAATAATGACGTTGGGTCAACAACCCTATCCTGCAAGGACAAATTTAGAAGTTTTACATTATGTCAGAGCAGGAGGAAGATTAGAGAGGCCGAGTAACTGTCCCGAAGAATTGTAAGTTTAATTCGTTATAAATACTACCGACGGGAAAATTTTAAAAGAAAATTAACGTTTGAACTCTTTCGAACAGGCATCAATTGATGATAAAATGTTGGAGTTTTAATCCGGAAAATAGGCCAACTTTTAAACATTGTCTAGAAGCTCTAACGAGATTAAAAGAATTAACGGATAATTTTACTCTTATAACGGATACATGCGTTATTAATCCCACGGATGCAACATCGGGAGAGAGTAAGTCAAATAAAAACAAAAACAAACAGAAAACAACGGAAATAATAATAATAATAATAGTTTTAATTCAAACAGATTGTGACGTAAGAAACGATGAGAGTCGAGATGGAGATGTTAAAGAAATATACGAATCGCATAAATCAAATTCTGGTACAGGAACCGAACCTCACAGGTATCTTGAATTAATTTACGAGAAAGAGGCACAAGATGTAGACGGATATGAAATTCCAAGGTTTTCCGGTCATAATAATAAATTAAATAAAATGAGGACGTTTTCAACGATAGATAATTCGCGGGTCGTTGACGATTTAGCCAACATTACAACGCGGTTAAAAAGTGAATCGATTAGTAATTGTTTATATATAAAATCAGAACCGTACGGAAAGGATAATTTAATTAAAAAAAGTGAAAATGATATTATTAAATCACGGGAGAATGTGTGATGCAAAATTTTTAATCTTAGTGTGAATTTTTTTAATTTGTTTTAAAATTAATAAATAAATGGTTAAAATTTTAAAAATGAATGGTTAAGACTGATATTGGCAAATAGCTTTAAATATATATATATATAATAAACGGATGACTATAATAATAATAATAATAATAATCAGGAAAAATTCATAAGAATCATATTTGTGTGTGTGTGGTTAAAAAATTTAAATAATTAAAATGGTTATATACCTGTTATGTACAAAATATAATATTCGTGTAAAAATAATTTATGCGATAATAATAAAATGTAATTAATAAAGTATTAAAAATTTTTTTTTAAAATTTTACTTTTTTTTTATTTTTTGTAATCTCGATACGTTTATTGGTTAAATCATTTGTTTTTAAAATTAATTTGAAAGAAAATTGTCGCAATTTTAAAAATTTTGTAATAATGCGACAAAATGTTTAGTATGGACGACGCTCGAAATAACGGAACGAACATTTTTTTTTCAACTCTTTGATTATCTTTGTAAGTTGAAATTAAATTAATTTTTATTTTGTAAATTTTTATTAATATTTAATTATTATTAATAATTTTTTCGGACATTTTAGGTTAATAAAATCAATAATATTTCCTTTTTTAAAAAATTAATTTTATTTTTTCTCATTTAAAAATAAAATAAAAAATAATAATAATGATGATTTTTGTTCGGATTTCATTTCATTAATAGATTTATTAAAAAATTGTGTTAATAATTTATTTAATAAATCACTTAACGAAATCGTAAAAAAAAAAAAAAAAAAATGAAAATTATGATCGATATTTTTAAAATGTTTTTTTTTTTTCAAGTGACGAACATTACTTTCTCCACATTTTTTTTTTTTTTTTTGACACATATTCGTAGAGTCTTTTTACAAACGTACATTTGTAATCGATACTATAGTAATTATTTGATCAGAAATTATTAGAAATTAATTTAATATTTTTTATGATTCTTCCTCCTTATTTTCTTCTTCTTCTTCTGCATCTTCATCTTTACTGTGTTCGTGTAATAAAACATACTCCCTCGAACTGAAACCAAACTTAATAACGTCCTTTTCAAATAATTCTACATATTTTTTTGCCTCAATTTTGTTATTGTTAATAAAAGTCCCATTCGCTGATTCCAGATCAATTATGTAAAGTCTGATCTGCTTTCCAACACTGCCATCGGGGCGATTGTACTGCACCAAACGATATTGCAGAGCTGCATGTTGTTTAGAACAAGATGGATGATCGATTGGGATATCGGCAACTTTTCTATCTCTTCCAAGTAAGTAAGCACTTTGTCTATGAATATACAAAGTTGGTAGAGTGTCATCACCCTTAAATTGATACAATCTCCATCTTTTTTTCGGCATTCTCGCTTCAGGCGGTTCACTATATTTAATAACGACCCCATTGAATATATTCGTGTCTTCTGCCAGCTTACCAGAGAGACCAAAGTTTGGTTTTTGAACTTCTGTTTTGGCATATTTTCCTTTATTATTACTTTTATTACCCCCCCATTCATGTTCTTCTTTATCTTTTTTATAATCTGATTTGTGCTGTCGCTTGTTTCTGCAAATGATAAATTTACAGGGAAATGGTTACTGATCTTTATGATAAAAATGATATATAATAATCTATATCGAAATAACCCAAGGCTATTAATGTCAATGGAAATTTCAATGACTAATAGCTTTTTCATACACATAATGATTTTTTATTGATTTCTAAATTTAAATTGCGTTTTAATTAAATTTATTAACTAAAAATGTTATAAAATAGTACTTAAATCTTTATGTAGTAGAAAGTAGTACTTACGTATCAGGGGAATCATCAGTTTCTTCTTTTATAGTCACCCTAGAATGTTTTTTAGTTCTGTGGTCTACATTGTCAGAAAAACTCTCGTTCGACTCTGTTCTATCACGTAATTTCTCTTCTTCACGTTTTCTATCATTATACCTATCCCTATGTCTCCTATCTTCTCTCCTGGAATGTTTGAACCTTTTCCTAGATGCATCATCATTTTTACCACTTAAATCACTATAATTTTTGTCGTTACCAATGTCGTCATAATCGAAATCATGACGTCGTTTATACTTGTGTTCCCTTTTCATTGAATTATTATAGTTATTAAATGTTATTTTTAAAGGACAATAGATGATGCAACTTAAAAAGTTTACTAAAAAAAAAACGAGGATAACAAAACAATACGTTTTTTTTTATCGGATAAAAATTATTAAAATAATCAAAACTATCACCAATACTCAATTAAAAGTTAAATTTAATTTCTAAATATTTAATTTTTTTAAGAGATGTAATGAAAATCTTAAAAAATTCTAAATAAAACGTACACTTATTTCACAAAACAGCATTTATTATTTAAGTAAAATGGCGTGAAGTTGATGTCATAAAATTTAGGGCCCCGAAAACGACATTACTCAAGTCAAATTAAGAGGCATTTTTAAAATTAATTTCAATAATGTACTTTAATTAAATAAAAAATTATTTTTTTTGTAAAGTTAATGACAATTTTTTCACAACGAAATACAGTTATATCTTTGAAATAGTCATAAAAATAAATTTAAATTACTTCCCGTGAACTAATAAAATAACCAATTTAATTTAAATAACTAATTTTTTTTCAAATTTTTATCGTACGGGAAATTTGTTCTATAACAAGATTTTTGAAAACTTCAAGTTGAGAATCGAAGTAATAAATCATGATTTATAGTACAGTAAATTAAGATAATTATTGTCGTAAATAAACTTTACAAGTACTATATGTAAGATTTTTGATCGAATAAATTAAATAATATTGGTTATTGGCTTATTAATTTTTTTTAAAAATTAAATTTCGTAGTAGCGAATAGCAAAAATTACTTCATGTATATAAAAAAATGTTAAGTCATACAACAATACAACATTATACATGATAAAAAGGTTGGGTAAACAATAGTGTCTGACATTAGGGAGAATAAAAATTAAATAATAAGAAAACAAATTTTAATTACATAGAATATTGTATTAAAACAATTCTTTTATTTAAGAATTAGCATTGGGTCCGCGTCTGCGGCTAAAACCTTGGACAACATTCACAAATCTTCTATTGTATTGTATTCTTCTTTTAGCTCTACCAGTTTTCTTTTTCTTTTTTTCTTGCTTTTCTACTTTTGGAGTCTGTCCTTTGACTTTACCAGCACGAGCAAGCGAACCGTGTACTTTACCTCCAAGAAGTCCTCCGCATAAAACTTCAACAACCGATGATTGTAAATTTTCTACTAAATCACCATCATCCAAAGGTGAACTGCACGAATAAAGTGTTATTTCACCACTATCGACATTTTCAAGAGCGGCCACTTGGTTTTTGACTATACCAATCGTGGTGGTAGGCTCGACATCAAGCACATGGGTATTTTCACTACGAATAAGTAGTTGCATTTTGTCTTATTTGAATATAAATTTATCACCCCCTAAAAATACAATAAAATATTATTATCGTGATCAACAACAAAAAACAATGAAACCGATTAATGAGGAATAATATACATAAGATACATTACGTGTTAGTAAAAGTAGTAACAAAATATCAAAATGGCGGACGAAACGGAATGTCCAACATTTTAATATTTAGGGCCCTTAAAAATTTTTTAAAAGAGGGAAATTCGTTCTAAGATTATCACGAGATGACAATAGTAAAAATGGAAGTCAACGTGTAAATATAGTATGCAGTAGTATAATAAATTCGAATTTTTTAAATGATTTTACAATAAAAATTAAAATGTTTTTAAAAAATTTTTTTTATCCAAGTGATTTTTACAATGTCTAATTTACTAGCTGGAATATTATTTAAATTCTGTCAGTTAATTTTAGCATTCCTTCACTTTGCTTATTCCGGTTTGCTGTACTTTGATTTGGCACAAAATCTAATTAGAAGAAAATTAAAAAAATTTTTTTTACAAATACAAGTATTGGATTCTCAAGTATTTGTATCGAATTTCGTGAAAGAACTCAATAAGTGTCCTACGCATTTAGTTATTATTGTGGGAGAAGATGGTATAGCGTTTAAAGATTTTTCTAATATTGTTATTTGGTGCTTAGCGGCTAAAATTAGCTTTCTTAGTTTTTATGATTATACCGGTAAGAATATACTTTATAAATTTTTTTTTTTTTAAATTTATTTTTATTTTTTTTATATAATTCCGACGATTTTTTATAATAATATTTACGAACGACTAAATTTTTAATATTGTCTTTTAGGACGCTTGAAAAATGAACAGAATAATTATTATAATTATTTGATCGATAAAAGTAAAATTAACCCTAATTATTTGTCATTAGCCTCAGGGAAACAAAATTTGAAAAATGGTCAAAAAATAAATTGTAAAATTTATTTAAATTTTTTATCAATTGAAGATGGGAAAAGAAAATTTGTCGAATTAACTAAAGAAATAAGCAAAAATGTCGCTTGCAATAATATAAGTATTTCAGACATAAATGAACAATATATAAATAATGAATTATTTAAACTTTGTGGGCTTCCTGATCCTGAATTAGTCGTTATTTCCGGAACAATTTATAGTTCATTCGGGTTGTTACCCTGGCACATTAGAGTCACAGAATTTTTGTGAGTTTTATAATTATTTAATTATCTCTTATAATCTTTTTAAAAATTTTTTCACTAAATATTTAAAAATGATTTTTTTTTTTATTGTTTTTTTAGGCAAACAATAAGTCTGAAAGATATTCAGATAACAGATTTTGTCGATATATTAGAAAAATATTCATCATGTAATCAACGATTTGGAAAATAATTTTTACGTTTCCAAAAATTCCTATTTTTTTTTTTTTTTTTTTGTACATATTTGGCTCATTATTATTATTATTTATTAAGAACAAACTAATGTTATGTTCTATTTAATTATAATGTGAAAAATAAAATTTATTATTTTTTCTATTGTTTGCCTCTATTGTTTTTTTTTTTTTTTTTATCGTTTTTTCTTCATTTTTTTTTTTTTGTCGGAGTTTTACTCCATATATTATTATTAATATTTGGATATTAAAAAAAATTTATAGTTAATTTTCATGTACAATATTTAATTTTCTAAAGTAAATTATATAACGATTATTATTTTTATAATTTAAATAAATTATATTTGTTATCTGAATTTAATCAGCATTTTTCTTATCAATACTTTTTTTTTTTATAAAATAAATGAAATCTCGATTAAAATTTTTACATTACATAATTTAAAGATTTATATATACCACAATGCTTACATTTTAAAAAATGCTTATTTTTTTAATTGTTTAATATGATAATAATTTAATCAGTATTTTTTTTTAGCTGATTAAACAAAATCAGATTGATTTGTTATAATTTTTTTTTTTGTAAAGTAATTTAATGAATAATAATAATAATAATTTTAATTGATTGATATGTGCGCCATTTTAAAAATTAAATGGCGTCTTAAACTAATAACTTTTTTATAATTATTTCAGTTTTTTAAATTATGAATTCCCATTCTCAACAATTTCACGATGATAAAAGAATTTCTAGGGCGAAAAAATTATCCGATCAAGCGGCAAAAAAAGCATTAGCGCCTTTTTTAAAACGCGTTAAAAAACAAGGAACCGAAGATATACTTTCTGAACAATATCAAAAAGCATTTTTTAAATCAAAAGTAAAGGATGTTATTGCTAAATTACAATCTTTTTGCAAAGATACTCTCGAAGTGCCAACTGTTCTAAATGAAACATGTGAAATATTAAGGGAGGTAACAAAATCATGGGGAGCTTCATCGTATTTAGTTGACGATTGCGGTGAAAATTTAATTTTAAATGCAAAATATATGCCGAGAAATGGCCGACACACGGTTATATACAAAATAGGTAATTTTTTTTTTTTTTTTCGACTTTTTTCATAATCGAACCGTTTTTATTTCAACGTATTTTTAGAACCTGGGAAAACTGTCGCAGCTTATGTTGCTTATTCTCAAGAGTTTGTAATCGTTGATGATATTTGGGGTGACACGAGGTTTCCATTAGGTATTCCAGGCGCTCGTAAAAATGTCAAAGCTGTTCTTTGCGTTCCAATTCTTACAACGGTTAACGGAAAATGTATTGCAGTCATCGAACTTTTTCGCGATTATAGACAGGATTCTTATTCTGCGGTAAGTTTAAAAAATTAATTTTTTTTTAAATTAAATTACTATAAATGAGTTTTTTTTTCTTTTTTCAAATGTCAAATTTTAACAAAAAAAAAAAAAAAATGGATTATTCTTATTAATTGTTTTTATTTTAAAGGTAGATTTACAAATATGCGTATCAATGACGGGTTGGATGGGTGCTGCAATACAACAAAACAACGAAAGATTATTTCTTTTAAAAAAAATCGAATTAAATAATTATCTACTGTCTTTAATTGAATTATTTTTTGCTGAAGATCTGCCATTCGATAAATTTGTATCTCACATTATAGTAAGTTTTCAAGTTTTTTAAAACAAATTTTCCTCTGGTTATTCATTCATTGAAAACTATGGATAAAAACTAAAGGCATATTATACAGGAATGTGCTAAATTATCAGTACAAGCTGAACGTGGAACATTTTATATTATGGATGAAGAAATAAGTGAAGGTTATGAAAATGATATAATTGCTGATGTTTACGAAGAAGCTTTGGTTTCATCTCATTACACTCTGAAAAAGAAAAACAAACATAGGTCATATATAATTTTAAGTATTTTTTTTGTTATATAACAAATGATTTGTTTTAAATTTAAATAAAATAAAAAATTGAATAAAAAAGAAAAAAAAAAAAAATTTGTTTCAATTGTAGATTTGCTAGGAATACAGCATCATTTGTTAGCTCTTCTGCAAGAGAAGGAGTATTAATTAATATAGAAAACGCTCTTAATGATCCCAGATATAAGAAATCGAATGATTTTTTCGGTTCGATAACAAAATCATTGATATGTGTACCACTGATGGGAAATAAAGGAGTTTTAGGTAAATATTTGTTTCTCCTAAAATGAATACTTTTTCATTATATTTTTCTGTCAGATTATGTAGAGTTTATGTAGAGATAAATATCTATCAAAGTTGTTAAAATTCAAATTCGATTTGTATTAATGTACCTTACATTAAAATTTTTTTTTTTTTATCATTATCAGGTGTTTTACAATTAATGAACAAATTACAGGAATCATATTTTAATGAAAAAGATGAAATATTATTAAAAAATATAGCAATATATGCAGCTTTGGCTTGCATGCATAATTTTTCTAAAAATATTATTAAAAAATATGTAAGTTGTTTGTTTTTGCGTTTGTTTCTTTAAATAATTTTCACTTTTATGACTTTCGAATCATATTTTCATAAAATTTAATTTCTTTTTAGAATTTTCGTTGCATTGGATTTGAAGAATTATTAAAAATTCAAATGAAACCTTGCGTAGACGATTTAAAATTTTTACGTTACATGCCAATATTAAAAAAATCAGATTTACCACAAGAATTTTTCAAGTAAGTAATTTTCTTTTCTTTCTTTTTTTCTTTTGTAATTATTCATGATGATGATAATGATAGTTTAAAAAAATTTTGGTTCTTTTATTAGTTTTAGTTGGATAATAACTGGTGAAGAAAATAAAGCTCCCAATTATGCTGTTTTCATGTTTACTTACCTTCTTGGAGAACAATTTTTCGATTTTTATAAACTCACAGAATTTATATTAACTGTTAAAAAATCATATCGTGATAATCCTTATCATAATTTTTCTCATGCTTTTACAGTTTGTCATTGTATATTTAATATTTTAAATCGGAACAAAGAAAGTTTTACAAAGTTAGAAGTAATTTTAATTATAGTCGTTTGTCATTCGAATACAAAAAAAATTTATATTATAATACTCTTATTATTTAAAGAATCTTTTAATAGTATAAATAAATTTTTAGATTCTTGCTTTATTAGTTGCAACAATTTGTCACGATAGCGATCACGTTGGATTTACAAATAATTTTTTAGAAATAACTAATCATTGGCTTTCCGAACTCTATTGGGAATCACCATTGGAACATCATCATTATGATGTTTGCAAATTAATGATCGAGGTATTTAACAATTTAACTTCGTTTGAATAAATTAATTTTCATTGTTAAAAAAAAAAAATGTGGTTTTTTTTTTTTTTTTTTTTTTTTTGT